GGGTGGGAGTTGGATAAGAGGGTAAAGAGTGAATAGAAAGGCTAGGACAGAAAGATGAATGATTGTGTAACCGTTTTCGGCATAACTTTTGTTGAGGGATTGACAAGTTCGTAGCTTAGTGCGGAGAATGGCAAAACTCATCGATGTTGTCGACTACGATGCTGGCGAAACGTTTGAGAATATAACAAGTCCACTATCTGATTCTGGGAATTATGACAACTACTATGGCAGACGACTTCGGACTAGGTGCATTCTACTACGTCCTGACAACAAGAACAAGTTCTGACAACGAGATTAACTCATTTCTCTAGGATAGAAAATCTCAAATATGTCGAATTCGCTTTAAGGTTATCGCCTCACATTTTTGTTTACCTTTCGTCCTTAAATAAATAAATAAATATGTGTCTATGTGTGTGTTTAACAGCCCAAGGCTTACCCCTGAATTTGGAATTTCAGCATGAACACAAAAGACGTGGTAAACTGTATCAAAAAGGCCTTGGGTCAGACTAACGTCGGAATTCGAACAGCCGGTATCAACCTAGCTATTACACTACAACTATTCATGGGTGTCGATAATTTACGCCTTCTTTTGGCTGATGAGAAGCCATCTCAACTAGCTATCATTGATTCAGAATTTTCCCGCCTTGAAAGCAAAACTGCTCCAGTCCCTATTCGAAACACAGCGCTGAAGAGGCTTCAGCTTCGGACGCAAGAGATAAACTCCATAAAAAAATATTCCTGCATAGCCAATAGCGAGGCGGTCAAGCAAGAAGAAAGCCGTGAAACCTCTGCTGAAGTGGCCGTAAATCCTGAAGACTTGATTACAAGAACAGATATCTGGTAGATTTATGTTTGCGTTTTATTATATTATGGTTCTTGCCTCATAAAAGCATATATGCATACGTCTTTAATCTTATTAAAGAAAGTTACAGAATTCTAATAAGAATTAAACTAAACATCTTTGCTAGGATCTTGATTTCAGGTCACTCACATATTCATATTTTATTTATAGCTCCTTATTTTTGGCCCTGCTTTCCTTTTTGTTTCTATTTGTTATTTATCGAGATTCAATACAAATGTATATAATAAAAGTTCCCATGTTTTTTATCAATAAAATATTTTTAATGAGAGTATCTATAAATGCTCACAGTAATCCTTTAATAGGAATATGACCACTGTTGTACAAAATGTTTGAAGGATTAATAATGGAGAGGCTTCATGCGCCGTAGCTACACTATGCTATTCCGCAACAGCCACAAGTTTAATTAGGTCGCAATTATTCATAGTCTCGAAAGCAACTCCCGTCGAAAATAGTTAGTCTTTTTCTTAAATGGGAAAGAACGGGTTTAAAAGCTGTATCAACTTTAGGTCCTATAAGATTATGAATGACTGATAGTTGACATTTACAAATGAGTTAAGTTAGCCTCCCGATGCCATTGAATTTGGTTTGCTTTGTGAATTTTTTAAATTTGCATGGAGACAGGTGAAGCCGATCCTTTGACCAATTGTCTGCTAAGAATATCTCTCTCTACTAGTGATATATTACGAAACTGTTACCAATATTTTACCACAATATTAGGAAATGTTCTTATTTTCCCCACTTCAATTCTTGCACTTCTGAAGCGCCTTTTCTTTATTTTTAGGCCCACACAGGATTTCAAGTTTAACTATATTTATCCTTAATTTAAATTATTTTTTAAACCTTTATTTTCATATTTGGCCCTGGTTTATCTGGGTGTGTTTAGAAGTTCATAGACTATCAACCAATTTTTATTAATTTGACTTGATATAAGATGTATAAAAAGCATGTTTCACTAATAATTTATTGAAAATATTTTTACTTTATTTCTTGTCTTCACTACCTCATGTATAAGCATAAATTAATAGACATTGATCAATTTATATCCTAATTATATTTTCATTTGAGGATTTTTGATAAGTATAAAGATGGGTGCTAGTGGATCAAACTTCCCAAACTGCTTCTTACGCAAGTATCTCGTGGGTCTCTTAATTCATGATAAAATAATTATCCCTTAATCTAATTCCACATTAGATACTTGCCCAAACATTGCTTTTAGGTAATTGTCACAATAAAATTATATAGATATTTTGCATATACGGTATTGTGGAATTTCAAAAATTATGAATTTGATAATTTAAACTTATTCAGTTAAGTGCCTCCAAACTTTCTTTTAGGGCCCTCTATTTTTCACATTGAAATACTGTAAGATCTTTGCACAAATCAACAAAATTCCCAGACGATTTTCTTTCAGCTTCATACAATATTGTTTTTTTTATTTTACTTTGTCTGGTGGCAGCCTGATGGTGTGACTTATCGCCCAAAGTAACAATGTGTTACTTTTCTGAAAAGATAGGATAGGGTGTATGAATTGTCTAAAACAAAAAGTTACATGCCAGCTTGGTTGACTACCTTGCTATAGTAACAAAAATGGTTTAATAAACTTCATACTCTTAGAACTCCATCAGTTAATCTTTTTCTGTAAACTAATAAATTTAGAGATAAGATTTTTCTATCTATTTAGCCGATTTTTTGCTAACTAAACTTATCTTTAGAGGTTGTTTGACCTTGTCTTCGCAACTTGGTCATAATGGTAGAAAGACTTACAAAAACGCACCTTGTCCTGAGTCGATTGTATGCATAATTATTTCCAAAT